CAGAAGAAGTGTCATTCCAGAACATTGAAAAAGTCTGAGTAGCTACTTGGAATATGGTTTCCAAGGCAACTAAACCAACTTGTTAACATGCTCACTTTCATCATTAAAGAAAAAAGTAAAAGGTAATTGGGTTAATTATTGAAGCAACAGCCAGAATATAGCCAGCATACCACCACTAATTGTCCATTTACCTAAGGCGTTTAAACAGCAGTTCAGATTCCTACTGGGGTGAAATGTATCACAATTCATTCACTTGAATGAGCAGCTTACATAAAAAGTGAGTGGATAATCAATTAAAGAGCCATGTACAGATGCAGAATTCCCTAACAGGAAATCATTTCTTACAAACCACAGTTGCTGTATTCAGATGATCTCCAAATCCTGGTTTGACTATTGCAAATGAGCCTTTTCAACATATATGACATGAGCACAAAAAAAAAAAAATCAAAACCATTACTGAAGGGATAAACCAGTAGATAAAATAAAAAGTACACCACTGCATCAAACAAAAAAAATGGCAGTTAAATAACCCCCAAAGCCGAAAACCAAACTATTAAGCCAAAACAAGCATACAGATATCGTGAGAACATAACTGAATATAAATCAGCTACAAAAAGCCCAGAGCATCAGGACAAAGTTTGTCTGGCTTCCGAAGCATAACAGAGAAGGTGGAAGGCAGATGTCACCTTCCATACATGGGATACAATAAAAGAAAAGGCCCTCCTTCTGGTAGCCATTACCTAACCTAAATACCACTGGAAAGGGCACCCAGAGAAAGACCTCTAATAGCACTCTTAGTTGCCAGGTAGGCAGACACAGTGTCATTCAGGGGGGTGGGGGCCTAAGAGGGCTATTTGGCCTGGGCCAAAAAATTTAGACACATTAATTTTTTGGCATTTGGTAAGTTTCACAACAAAAGGCTGGGCTGGATGAATCCCAAGCTGGAATTAAGATTGCCGGAAGAAATATCAACAACCTCAGATATGCAGATGACACAACCTTGATGGCAGAAAGTAAGGAGGAATTAAAGAACCTTTTAATGAGGGTGAAAGAGGAGAGCGCAAAATATGGCCTGAAGCTCAACATCAAAAAAACGAAGATCATGGCCACTGGTCCCATCACCTCCTGGCAAATAGAAGGGGAAGAAATGGAGGCAGTGAGAGATTTTACTTTCTTGGGCTCCATGATCACTGCAGATGGTGACAGCAGCCACGAAATTAAAAGACGCCTGCTTCTTGGGAGAAGGGCAATGACAGGCCTAGACAGCATCTTGAGAAGTAGAGACGTCACCTTGCCAACAAAGGTCCGTATAGTTAAAGCCATGGTTTTCCCAGTAGTGATGTATGGAAGTGAGAGCTGGACCATAAAGAAGGCTGATCGCCGAAGAATTGATGCTTTTGAATTATGGTGCTGGAGAAGACTCTTGAGAGTCCCATGGACTGCAAGAAGATCAAACGCATCCATTCTTAAGGAAATCAGCCCTGAGTGCTCACTGGAAGGACAGATCGTGAAGCTGAGGATCCAGTACTTTGGCCACCTCATGAGAAGAGAAGACTCCCTGGAGAAGACACTGATGCTGGGAAAGATGGAGGGCACAAGGAGAAGGGGGCGACAGAGGACGAGATGGTTGGATAGTGTTTTCGAGGTTACCAGCATGAGTTTGACCAAACTGCAGGAAGTAGTGGAGGACAGAGGTGCCTGGCGTGCTCTGGTCCATGGGGTCACGAAGAGTCGGACACGACTAAACGACTAAACAACTTGTTTTTCTGCATGCTGGACCAAATTGTCACACACACTTTCCCAGTTTAGAGATGCAAACTAAAAGAAGAGGTGCAATTTGGCAAAAGACTCTTCTTGTTGCTGTTAAATGATATGTGTTTTGTCATATGCTTAGCATCAACTGTGATATTACACAAAAGCTCTCCTGTTGTAGTCTGTGAGAAGAGGCTGTGGTTTGCAAGGAGGAACTGGTGGTGCTAATGGTTAAATGGTGTAGGATGCATCACAATTTAATTGGATAGAATATTGCCTGCATAGTCCCTGTCTCTTCCTTTTGAAGTGTGGTGGGTACAAGCCATAGCATGGCAAACAACAGGCATCTCTGGTCTGGGCAAATAGACTTTTGCTAGTGGGCTGGGCCTGTGAGATTTGTTTGCACCAGCCTCTCTTGTGTCCCTGGCAACAAAGATACTGATTCAGTAGTCAACTTACTCTCATGTGCCTCCCCAAGAGGAGGCTCTTTACTGACAGGACTGACATGAGTGGTGGCCCTTTAGGAGGTGCCTGTCAAGAGGTCTCTTGATATCACAGGGGTGAGACTCCTTTCTGAAAAACTGCTTCAACCTTATTACAGTGGTACCTCGGGTTAAGTAATTAATTCATTCTGGAGGTCCATTCTTAACCTGAAACTGTTCTTAACCTGAAGCACCACTTTAGCTAATGGGGTCTCCTGCTGCTGCCATGCCGCCGGAGCACAATTTCTGTTCTCATTCTGAAGCAAAGTTCTTAACCTGAAGCACTATTTCTGGGTTAGTGGAGTCTGTAACCTGAAGCGTATGTAACCTGAAGCGTATGTAACCCGAGGTACCACTGTACTGTGGTAACTTGGTCTACGAACAGCCCTGTTAACGAACTATTTGGTGAACGAATTCCACAAAACTGGAAGCAGGTGTTCCAGTTAGTGAACTTTGCCTCAGAAGATGAACAGAAGCCAAATGGTGGAAGGGCACTGACGGCGGGAGGCCTCATTAGGGAAAGCGCACCTCGGTTTAAGAACGGCTTTGGTTTAAGAACAGACTTCCAGAAAGGATTAAATTCGTAAACCGAGGTAGCACTGTATTATTTATTGAATTTATATACCGCCCTATACCTGCAGGTATAGTTCCACCCAAGAATACTTGTGCTATCTGAATTCAGCTTCAATCTATGATCCCTCAACCATCCCATTGCTGACTACAGGATATTAAAGCAAGTATGAACGGTGTTGCCGTAGCTGGATAATTCAAATGTGAATTTAGTTCAGTGTTAATCTCTACTGTAGTCATCACATAAGGAAACAACAATAAAGTACCTAGAAAATCAGAGTGTATTTTTTTTAAAGTAATGGTATTTATATGCCTAGCACTGTTGGTAGGTAAGGCAATTCAAATGTTATCTCGTTCTGATGGGGAGGTTCCCAAAATGCCTTTCTGGGGTGCCAAATATTTACTTGTATCCAATGCCTAGGTTCAAAGATATCAACAAGTATAAGCACACTCCATCAAAGGAACATGAAAGGAGACAGCTACTAGAAGCTAGAAGAATCTGCCTTTCACCCTCAAAACTAGGTAACATTTCTTGTTATCACCACAAGCAGCTGAAAGATTCTTAACAGGGAGCAGAAGCAGATGTCTCCAGCTAAGCAGAGCAGGGGGGAAATTCGGCAGCGTTGCCTGGCAGCAAATTATCATCATCTCCTGGTGAGCTATTTCCATATTCCTACGACAAAATCCCACACAGAAAACCAGAATAGGGAAAGGATGCATCTCGTCGAAAAGCAACAAGCACTAGCAAAGAGGTGCTTAGCAACCTTAAAGTGTTGCAAGAAAAATGTAAGAAATGGGGATATTGTATCATACCTGGTAAAGTCTCCTTTCTACAGATGAGCAAAGTGACAAGATCACTTCCTCAGCAAAGAGGAGGCAGAAAGTTAAAAGTGCCCTTATCTGGTAGAGGGAGGCTCCTACCCTCAATCTGGAATAGCAAAAGACTTGAAACAAAAAACTTTAATGACTAAAGAACAATGCCAGTCAAACAAAGAGCCTCTCAAGAAATTTTGAACCATATGGAATCTGAAAGGGTGGGGTGGATGGAATGGCCCTCCCCTTATTCCCAGAAGTTTAATTTACTAGATAAGACAAAGCAAACTATCCCCATATGATGTCTACTCCTATTCAATGGGTCTTACTCCCACATAAGTGAGGTTAGGAACACATTATTAGTAAGAGGACAACAGTATTATTATCATTATAAATATGTGGCCAGACTTTATTTGGCATACCTATTCACAGACATCATGCTCTTGGTTATAGTCTTCTTATACTAACAGCATACACAAAAAGTAGACCAGCTCTATACCTTTTTCATCAGAATGCAACAGAATAAATATATATGACAATAGTGGGAGACTTCCGTATGTTGTTAGCCTACAACTCCCATCAGACCTAGCCATCAAGGATGATGGGAGTTGTAGTCCAACAACATCTGAAGTACATTGTGTTGGCCATCTCTATGTTAGAGGATTTCCAAGAGCTCAATAAGGCAAGAAAGTCCCTGAAAAAGAATGTGCTTATTTAGCTTACTACAGCACCCTTTAAAATCCAAGAGCACATTGCTATAAGCTTAATCTAGACAAAGATTAGATCATTATTGCATTAGGTACTAACAAATACCAAATTCAAGGTCCATGAACCACCTCTATAGAAATTCTGTCATTACAAAAAATCTCATTTTATCTACCTTCTACCTACTCACACACAAAGTACTTTCTAGTTGGCTGTGCAATATTCGTATATATTGCCAAAGTTTTAATATGCACCTATTAGGATCCTAATTGAATCTGAACTGCTCTTGAGAAGTTTTACAGCCCAGAACATGAACAAGGCACCCTATAATTGAATTAGAGGGACCTGCAGCAAACTGATCATTAGCTTGTCAGAATGTTAATTTTTAAGAGAAAAAGAAACAGAAACACTTATGCTTTTGAAAAGAAGTTTTCAAAAATTGTTCTGCCTATCCTTGTTCTTGAATTCAATTCTAGGATTTCCCTGCGTGCAGCTTTCTTTCCAAAAGAATGTGCTATCAGTAACTACAAAAAATGTGCACAAATGGATAATACAGTCATTCTGGAGTCTATCTTTGCGTTTATAGATTATAGCCATGTCAGTTTTGATTTTCATACCTATCCTAGATCACCTATATAAGTATCAGATTCAAAAAAAAGAGGAGCAGGAGATCCTTACCTGCCAAAACCCTGTTAACAGAGGAATGAGTGGCCAAACCAGGCTGTCCCCGCTCATGGAAAATCCCAGCATAAGGCAAGTACTCTGGCAGCAAGAAACGCCTAGAAGGGGAGACAGAATCCATGAAAAATACTGCCAGACCACTGAGACCAGGGTTAATGCAATGCCACACGCGCAGGTCTTACCTGGGGACAAAGCGCCCAAGGGATGGGGCAGACATGCGGGCATTCCGAGGAGCTCGATGTCTTGATCTGTCTCCGTTGTCCCTTAAGGAGGAATAAAGAATATGTTCATTACAGATTCCATATTGTCAGGTTAAGATACGAGAACTCTTCTAAGCCAGCCACCATGATCAATACAGGACCAATGTCAAGCAATCTGCTTACAACTTTTAAAAATCTACTCCCATTTCTACTGCACTACAGTAAAGGTCACCAATTTAATACACTGATCTCACTCATGCCTCACATGGGAGCAAGAAGTAGGAGAAACTGTGGAATAATCCACTACTCCCTCCATAATAATCTGGACCAATATTCCTATTTTCGCATATGGGATCGCAGCATATACAAACATTGAATAAATTATGTATGTAAGCTTGCAAAGGCAATTTAGCAGCAAAATGGCAATTAACAGGACATAGTATACTGCAATATTTTGAAGGTTTCCCCAAGAACATAAAAAGATGCTACAGGATAGGAATCTTAGGGGTTTCCTGCCCCTAAGCTGCAACCCAGGGCGTAGAAACTGAGAATCCATCTGAATCAAGTAATACCTGAGGGTAGGAATCTACTGTAAAGATAGCCATCAGGTTTCTTGGGATATTTATCCCAGGGATTTGCATTTTACCCTATTACTTGGGGAAACCTGATGGCTATCTTTACAGTAGATTCCTGCCCTCAGGTTTCCCCAAGTAATAGGGTAAAATGCAAATCCCTGGGATAAATATCCCAAGAGACATAAAAGAACAGGAAAACCAGCAACCAACTGGCATTTTGACATCTAAAAAAAGGCCACTCGAGGTCAGGGTACCAAAAGCAGGAAAGAGAAATAAGAAGGAAAAATCAACAGTCTTGCAGAATGTAGGCAGAGAAGGATCCCTTAGACTGAGCAGAGGTTCTCAAAACTTTCTATCCCCAGGGCTCACTTGAGAACACTGAAAATTACTGATGCCCACCAGTAACAACAACATGGCTCTCCATAGAGTGAACCAATCACAAAATTATGGCTGATTGAGGTCGAACTTGCATATTTGGAAATTGCTATTTTTCTCCTCATAGGATTATCTTGTGGTAGGCACTTGTATAGTTCAGCTTTCCTTATGCTAAGTCAAAATACTGGAAGGAATTCAACATCACACTATAACAATTGTTTTGTTGGGGTAAGCATTTCAGCTTTCCAGAAAAAATGATCCTTGCTCTCCCCGGCCCTGAGGTGTTCCAGGGGTTCTTCCAACCCCATGAGAGCCAATTTCATAGGGCACAGTGGAGGAGATGGGGGAAAGCTCCATTGTGCAATCAGAAATCCTGGAGCAGGACTTTTGCTTATTGGACTCATTAGTTGAATCGTGCTCACAGGTTCTGAAGATACTGTGCCTCATTCTCTTCATCTTAGGCAGAAGTTGCTGATCCAGAAGATGATCAAAACAATGAAAGCTTTTTATTTTATATTTTCATCCTGCTGCAACATGCCTCAAAGTATTTTTACTCCGCTCCTGCTATTTCTTCTCCACTTCCCCTTTCATACTTAATTTGTACCGCAGTCTTCCAGGAGCTTCTGAGTTTTAATCAATATCCCCCACTTTCCCTCCCTCCTCCTTCTTCTTCTCCTGTTGTTATTGTTGATGTTGTTAAAACCAGTGCTCTGCAGCTCAGAAAACTGAAGCCATTCAAAAACTGCCTGCTTTTTATAGAGGGCCCTATAAATAGCTAAAAGAATGAGATATTCATGGAAGTTCTTAACCAATTTTTCCAGCAAGTTTATTTTTAAAAAAATTATGTCTTTAGAATTAAATCACACTTCCATGTTCAGCCCTTTGCAAGAAAACAGCTGGATGCATGGCAGTTTGTTACAACGTTCTGCCCTGGGCCCAGTATTACTGTCACCAAGAGAGATACAAATAAAAGTGTTGACAAGACTCTTAAAGATATTTAACTTTCATTAAATACCTATAAATGAACCTGTCAAGAACCACTGTTGGCAGGACTGGCAGCAACAGCAGCAGATATAGTCTATACTTATAATATTTTATTCTCTTGCCAAATGTGCATTTTTTTATTTGATTTCCTTTTGAAACGTTTAAATTAACTTTGTTGCATTAAATGTGCATTCTGTAGTTGACCTCTGTATTGTGTCTTCTGTATACAGTGTCTTCTTAATGGACTGAACTATAAAGTTAAAAGAAGTACCGCAACTTAAATATTTTAAATACCTAAGTTTTTTGAACTGACCTAACACTCTTGTCAACCCTTTTTTAATATCCCTCTTGTTGTTAGTAACTTCCCTTCATTCAAATCAAAATGGCTGAAATGTTAAGTCCACTCTAATATTCTTAGGTTATCAGGTTCCCTTCTTTAAGCAAAAGGAGGATTAATCAAAACTACTAATTTATACAACTAGCCAATTAATACAACCGCTATGCATCTAAAGCCAAATCATCAGAAAGTCCATTTAAAGGGAGAGGCATCTTAACAGATTAATCTTAAATAGATTTTCCTCCCCAAATTATCTAAAAATTGTGCTGATCAGTTAAAAGGAAATAATTAAGTTAAAAATAAACTTTTAAAACAATTGCTAAGATTTTGAAGGATTTATCACCATGGAGAGGAAAGAAGAGAGAAGTATGCTGAATAAAAGAACATTCAAATTACACAAAAGCGTTTTCCTGACAGGATATGTATTAGACTGTGGAAGCAATCTCCCAAGAGATGGACTAAAAATGTAATAAAATTTAAGAGGAGGGGGAGAACACTAGAAAAATGCAAGGAACAATTTCATATTGGCTGTAAATATGCTAGTAGATTAGAGTCTCCTCTTGCCACTCGAATCTCATTTTCGTACCAAATTTAATTTATAAAGTAGCAGCCAGGTAGAGCCTGATTGCCAGGCTCACCAACTTTTAGGTAGCCTTTCCCACTTGTGAAATGTCATTCCCTCCCTACCTGTGACATGGGAAACACCAAACTTGCCAATTTATCAGTTAAAGTTTTAAGCCAGCAGGGCTGCAGATAGTGGGTTATTAATGGTTCTCGCAAAGAGCTGGGGAAAAACACTAAACTACAGCCTTGATTACGTCTCACATGGCCATTTAAAGAATAAAAAGATTTCTACAACATAGAAAAGCACTTCACAAGATCAAGTACCTCTGACAAGTACCAAATACAAGAGGATTCATCACCTGGTCAAATGATATGCAGTGCAGCAGAGCCCTGCTAAATGCCGAAGATGAATTGCTATAGGAAAGCCAATTTGAAAAAATGAAGTCACAAGTCTGCGTCCTGACCCAGAAACTAAATGAGTCTCCTCTGATCCTACTTGTCTCACTGATAAATAATTAGCAAGACAACAATGAACTGTTATATTCAACTGCAGCAATGGGTCACTGGATACCATGGCAATTGGAAGTTTTCTAAAGGGAAAAGCAGAACACTTGGCAAAAACACACCCTTAAAAAGCTGAAGTGTTAATAGACACCATATGAAGGCAGCATCAGTACAGATTAAAATGGTAATAGGGATGTTCCTCTAAAGAGGGAGCTTGCAATGATGAACAGATACTCTTCCCTTATTTGTCTGAAATCGTCCTCTCCCCTGCCCTACCTCACAGCAAGCAGGTAGCAACTGTGGCTGGCAGGGAAAATCAGCAAATATTGGACAGCAGACTCTAGCAGAGGGCTTCAAATGGTCAAAGAGCTAGAAAGAACCATTTCTATCCCTGCAGGTCTAGTAAAAAGAATTGAGATCACTTGTTTAAGTCTCCACAAAAACCAAAGAAAGGAAGATTTAGTCCGTAGAAACAAAAGAATGTTCTTCTCAGAATTCATTAGAAGTTCTAGATTTTGGTTACTTCCACATCTACTGCTAATAGAATTCCATGGGGGGCGGGGAGCAGGCCAAACAAGTTCTGTGCAAATTAAAAAATACTAACTTGTACTATACAAAGAACATAGGAGGAAATTCAAATTCAGTGAACATCCCGCCAGCACAAGCACTGCAGCTTGCCAGGTGGAACAATTCTCTGTTTTGGAAGCTCTCTTGCCCCCGCAACCCAGGGAGCACTGGGAAAGAGGAAGGGGGAGGCCCCACTGTGGAAGCAGAAGCCCCAGTGCAGTAGTATACACGCCTACCTCATGTTTAATGGGCTTACTCCCAGGTAAGCTAGGCTAGGCTTTGGTTTTGGGTTGGGATTGAGGAAAACAAGATTCTTGTGTCTTTAACAGCTGTATTTCCACAATCAGGACCAGCAGGATATAGCTGACTTTCTATGGTAAATATGAGGTTGCCCAGGATAGGGGAGAAGCAGCAGCAAGAACAACTGTATTCTCTCTAATTCTGTGTTCTGCCATTTTGTGACTGCTGCCCACTGCACACTCAAAGTTCAAAATGGTCCACTGGCACAGAAAAGCTGGCGAGACCTGGTGTACCCCATTCACAACAGAAAACCACTCAGAATGGTTAATTTGTCTTGTATATGTTAGATAAATAGGCCCACCTTGTATTCAAAAAAAGGAAAGGCACAAAATAGTTTGGCTATAAAGCATCATTTGAAGAATATGAAAGTAACTTAGATGTCATACAACCACTGATCCAACAACCAAATGAATGAGAGGGCATGAAAAGTAGAGGAGATACAATTTCCAAAAAAATTATTTTATATGAAGTGGTTTCTATTAAGTAGCTCACTCTTGAATGCAGGAATGTTTTATGAAACAGTGATGAAAAATTTCAGAGGTTTTCAGACAGAGCAACTCATGGTCCTGAGAATCTGTATTTCAGTGTGTGTCAAAACACAATAAAATCTGCATATTTTCCCATCGCTTGCTGAAGACAGATGGCAGAATTCAGACATTGCCATATTTATATGTGTAAATTTTCAGTCTAAGAATGTAACCTTTCTGTGCTCAAGCAAACTACTTACAGCAGGTCCAACTCCTATGAGATACTTAGGAACAATTATGTTACTGCTTAATACTTAACATACATGCAAGAAAAATTAGATTATGAGCTTCACAACTCATGCACCTAATACTAAAAATGTGCTGGAGAATTCTGGAAAATCCCATGAATGAAACTCTGAAAGCTGGCTGTGCATGACAGTGATTTCTTGGAGAAAATAATAATTTGAAGGTTATGTTGAAGAGATTTTTCCCATTCCCAAACAGATATAGATCTAGTCAGTGTTCGAAGGAGCATTTTGCGACAGCGAATTTCATTAGCAGGAGCAGTTTCTGAGCTCTGGATACAGTACTGTGCCCAAGATTTCAGATTAAAACTAGAATGGAAGGAAAGGAAAACCGTTTTCTGCATCCCTACTTTCAGCTACTTTCTGAAGACTCTTAAGAATATTAGGGGGGTGGGCAGGGGGAGGACTAGACCATGTGAAGAATGAACGTAATATTTTAGCTGCAGTTCATTCATTTTCAGCTTCGTATTCTGGTTATAAAAAAGTGCGCCTAGACATTCCGTTGTTGCATCCATAACGTAGGTTTAAGGTGCCATTTATTGTAGATCCTAGCTTTCATATCTCAGTTTCTAACACTAATCTAGTCAAACTGTAGGTCTGTGTGTCTCTCTCCTTTTTAAAATCCAGCACAGTATAGGAGCTAGATAAGAGACTGGAATATGGGAGGCTTACGTTCAGGTTCTCCACTCCTCAATAAAGTGGGCTAGGTAACTTTGTGTAAAGAACTCTAAGCCAACCTCATGCAGGATACTGATTTAATAATAGACCATCTTGCGTGCTTTGGCAGAAAGGTGGTACATGTAATAATAAATAGGTGTAAAGTAATACACAGAAGAGTGTAGCAATAAGTATTACCCTGACCAGCAATGTATGAAGTTTCAGGAACAGAAACTGTTCTCCCAAACACCAGAAGCAACACCACCTACCACCTAAAGAAGGATGTGTACAATATTGCTGCTATCACACAAGAATGATCACTTGGAAAAGATGAGAAAAGTCTGTATCATATTAGAATGTAAGAAAAACCCTGATGGATTAGACCAAAGGCTTAGTCAGTTCAGCATTTTGTTCCCACTGTGGTCAACCAGATGCCAATAGGAACCACTTTATGGCTAGTGCTCCCCAGCAACTGATACCCAGAGGCATACTGCCTCCGCTACTGGAGATGGCTATATAGCCATTATGACTAGCAGCCTTGACAGCTTTATGCTCCATGACTATCACCTTTCCACTCTATAAACAGGTTGTTTAAATAATTATCCATAATTTATATTTTATATAAATAAATGCAAAAAAGGAAAAAAGAAATTCAGAAACACAAAACCTTCAATGCGGAATGGAAAGGTTCCACCTAAAAGGGCCCCTCTACCAGTTTCCCAATCAGCCAAGAAGGGTAACCGCATAGAAGATAATACCTCAAATGCATAGAGGAGCAGAGATCACAATGGAACATTTGTTACCAAAAAGCACAGCTAGTGCATAGGACACAAATGCACTCCCTTCCCTACTCAGCATGAAATAAAAGGCAGTTTGGGTATGGCTGACTGAATCACTTTCCTGAATGGACCCCTTCCCTGCTTGAATATTATCTGCAGGGGAACACATTTCTCCACAGGTATCTGCCTAGCCCTGTGAATGAAGAATGTACCAATTCTTTTTAGCAGTCAAGCCCCCTTCCCTAGAGGATGAATAGGAGGCAGTAATGGAAATAACTGAGGGTTGCTCTTGCTGAGCTTTCCCCATCACAATAGGCCTCAGCAGGCTGCCTCACTCCTACTCCTCCAGCCTGCAGTGCTGCTTAGGGAAAGCTATTAGGCAGCTGACGCTTCTACATATCTCCCCTCATTTACATCTTACACAAACAAAACCACAATGAAAGGGGGAAGACACACTCATTCCCCTGCGCTTCCGAGTAGTTAATTGCTAGAGCATGAAATGACAGCTCCAAAGAACAAGGGTTCTGCCTCCACCATAAATTCTCTCCCCAGAAGGTTATTTCCTGCTGATCTAGGAGGAGCCCAGTTCAGACTACCTGGTTCAACTGGAATTCAATGGTATGAGGAGTTTAGATTATTACCTGAGCTGATGGCACTATAGAATCAACATGGATTGTGATGGAGTACTCCATCTACTCAGTCCCAGCTGGAGAGCATTTTTGAGGAGGTAAGAAATATCTATCCCAGTCAAGCAGTTTACAGGTCATATGATTGCTAAGAACCACAGAGAAGACTATTGTGGAGACACGCTGTACTGTACTTGTAGTTTGAGATTAGAACTGCCACAAGAAAGATCACTTGAAATTGTCCTTATTGGCTTAGAAACTGAATAAACAGGAAGCAAAACAAAAACAACACTCATTCACTTAAAAAGCAAAGAGTCTTGTGGCACCCTAAAGACTAACATATGAAGTAGATTCTAGACGATGAATAAAATTGTTAGCTTTTAGGGCACTACAAGATGCTTTATCGTTGATGTAAATTGTTACTTATCTCTTTGTCATCAAGAAATTCAAGAAGCAAAAGTACCAACTTAAGGAGGCAGCAGGGTTGCACGTATTCATTATGAAAGCCGTAACATAAGAGACTGAGCAAATCAGATAGGGATATCTAGCCAGCCTGGAATTACTGTACTCTTCAGCTCTGATTAGGGGGCTTTTTACACTGGATCAATATTCTCAGAATATATGAATCTAAAGCCCTATTTCCAAAAAGTCATTTTCTCTTCTTTCAGCCCCCTGCTCATACAACAACCACAACTATGGGTTACTGTGGCAATGAACATTACCAGTTATCAGGTGTGCTCTACACTTTTGATAATTATAAGTTCTGTAGCATATTAAAACATATGACTGCATTAATACATTCAGGGAACTGACAGAAGCTTTTGTTAAATAAGTGATTCTTAAGGAAAATATGAATAGACAACAGAACACCAAAATGACCATTCTCTTCCATTGCACCAGTACTAACCTTGGAAAGCTGAATAGGGTTCAAGTTTAGCCAGCTAATGTGTCTACTTACCCATCCAAATGCACAACAACTTGAAAAGTTGCAGCAGTTGCCTTCCATTTATTAAAAATAGACTGGTTAATGTGTTCAGTTATTGAGAAGGATTAATCTAACAAGCTGCATCAGTGCAAGGTGAGGGATTCCACTTACTCCACAAGGCTTCTCCTCCTCTCGCCTCAAACTGGCTATAGCAGGAGGTTGGGAGAACCCCCAGAACAGCATGCAGCAGGAGGAGAGTGGGGATCATTCCATCTGGCAAGTTGCAGCACTAGTTCATTTTCACCCATGGTCTTTGAGAAGTATGAATGAAACCTACTATCTTATTTAAAAAAACCCCTCAAGGTGCTTATGAACAGAAGAAGAGAGGAAAAGTCAAGCATGGTGAAATAAGAAGAATGGACACTTACTCAAAGTCTTCAAATTCCAGATCATTTCCTTCTACAGATGGACCTGTATTCTCAGAAGTGGAAGCAGAAGATGAAGATGAACGGAGCCGATTCTGCTGGTATCGCATGGAGCGCTGACGAATACTATCTCTGCGTGAAAGATACTGGATCATTCTCTGGGCATAATAAGCAGCAGGAGACAACCTGAAAATATGAGAGACCATTGTTAGTTCAGAAGCAAGTCTCACCAAATACAACTGAACTTGCTTTCCCATTAAATGTTTAGCATTGCAACTTTATTGTCCAAATCTGTATCTGCAGTTAAAAGATTTCTCCCACTTCCTGAACTTTGCTGTATCCATAATTCATACAACCAATATCTAAGGTAGGTCAGTGTTATTACCCTTATTATTACCCTTATTACTTTTGTTGTTAAGGAGTAGAGACTGAGAAATAGTGAATTGCCATCTAAGTGAGTTCACCAACCAAGGTGACATCTACAGTTCATATTTCCAACTTTCATTCTTGGCTGCCCTGTTGACAGCCAGCTGGGACAATTAAAAAAGTGTCTCAGACCCCATAAAATTTACTTTCCGTTTCAGTCTCTCCTCACCCCACTAAAATATAAACAAAAATTCAGCCAACTACCTGGATTTCTCTCCCCGTCCTCCCCAATTTTCTGCTCTTTCTTTCCCTTCCTATTCCTCATCCCTATAAATATGTAATGCATGGAGAATGTTGATTTCTCTTTTGATGTTAAAAAATGAATCTCTTAACCTGTTTTCTACAAGTTCAGGTAAGATCTATGTTTAAATAAATGATCTACCACCATCATGCCTAGTTTGGTCCTAACTCTTTGCTCAGACAGAATAGTTCCCATCAGCTATATCCAAGGAGTCAATAACTACTGGTCACGATGATTATATCCTGCCTCTAAATATCAGTTGCTGGGGAGAGCTATTGCTCACAAGCAGAACTTCCTAAAGGCACTTGGTTGGCCTCTATGGAAAAGAGGGCTGAGGACTAGATGGACCTTTGATCTGAACTCCAGGGCAATTTTTGTGTTCTTGTGTAATAGACATTTCCTTACATTTAGAAAATAAATAATTCAGATTCTTGTAACTCGAATCCATTGGTTTGAGTCAAAGAAGAATAGTCATGAACTGACCACTGAACCTACCATCCAATAACATTAGTGTATCCAAGACATAGTAATATTGGCATCTCTTAAGAAATACACTTGTATTCCAGAATTTAGCTGTCCTTTGCAAAACACATTATTTGTTTGTCTTTTTTGGTAATCATTCTTTATATATGTGCAACGACAGACCTAAAGTGCTGTCAGGATGGAGAACTCAAACAGGCCAATTATCCTGTAAGCCTTCTGTTTAATTGTAAGCAGGCGGCAACAAATTTTAAGATTTTTTTTTGTAGGTTAGGAAGAACAGATTCTTAAGTATTTTTATTTCAAATCCCAGTGATTTGTGACATTTCAGGAATAACTGTCAGCAATTCTTTTTTGCCAATTCTTTTATCACTCTAATTATATCACCTTTCATATGGTCAATTTTTCAACACTCTCATTTGATTCCAACAATAGTTACAAAGTTCCCATTATCTCAAAAAAAGCCAACCTTGCCTTCTCCTCTTTGAACAGAGATTTAAATCAATCACTTTAGACACAATTGATTTTATCTCGGCCATATATGGATCAGCCTACTTTTTCTGTAGCATTTGCCCTGCTACCAATTCATTCACACAAAGCTTTTTTCATTACTCATGTTACATTGCGTTTTTCTTTACTTAACCATATATCCTCCTTTCTATGCCTAGTAAGGAGTTTTTGTGAATTTTTTTACCAGTAATATTCAGTTTTTTCAAGCTACACTGTTCACTTTATTCTTTGTAGAGCTGTGTTTTTCAAAAAGCTCTGTCATCAGTGGCACCTTAATTATAGCACCCAAAGAATTTCCTACATCAACACTTCCTCTCATTACCTTATTATTTCTTAATTTTTTTCAAAAGATGCTTTCTACAAACCCATCTTTCTGTACTCTGAATTCCCATGTCTTACTCGGATCCAAATAAGTCATCATCAACATTATTCCTTGTTACTACATCATTCATTCCCATCCTATTAATAATGCAGCATATCTAAGAAGACTTGTGTGCTTCTGATCACAGAATTATCTATTTAGCTCTATAGATGCCTCTACTCTTTCACTAACACTATTCAAAACAGGCTCTGCACAGTCCAGACCATTGCAGGAGATGGTTCCTTAAACACAAATCCCTATTGTTTTTTATAGCAACAACATAGATGGTACATCATCTGTAACTATGAACAAGCAGCAGCTTTAGGCCTGGAAAAGAGTATGAAACTTTTTCTTCTTCTTTTTGCAACATGGAAGTGAAAAGCAAAGAAACTGACAGGCAAGGATAACAACGAACCAATGTGAACAAATGCTAGTAGTATATATACTTAGTTTCCATTTCGGACTCATTTCAGGAAAAGGGGAAATGGCTTAAGCTAAAGGCTTTATGGAACAAGTGTGTCTTGAAGGGAGAGACAACAAACAGAGTAATTTTCCTTTGCATTCTCTTCTTCTCTCTAGGTATGTCTTTTTCTTTAAATGAGTGGTAGTGTAAAAGGAAGAGTCAGAGCCTTAATACAGTGAAAAGAACATCACATACTCCTCTTATTTTGTGGTTCACCGGAGCCCACAAAGTTATCTCTGGGTTCAATTCTGTCCTTACCTAGCTGGATCAGGATAGATTGGATGTTCCCGAGATCCTGCCCCATCATAACGGGATAATGAAATGAGTGAAGACTCCAATAGCCTCCTAGGGAAGAAAACAAAAAGCTTTAACTGGAAAGTTGAAACTACTAGCATCCCATGTGTCCACCTTCTTGACTTCTCTCAAATTAAAATGTCAAAGTCCATATATTATTTGGTATTTTTTTACCCACCCACCACATCTTCATAGCCAATGTAACAATGGTAGAACTCAATTAATTTCATCTTCTAGTGAAGTCATGGCCCAGTTTCTTTCACTGTTCACGATATTAAGAGCCTTACAAGTAAAAAAAAGGACCTTTATGATCTAATATTCAATGAAGTACCATCCTCTATGGGTTATTTCAGCACAATGTCAACAAACACAGATTACCACACAATGCACATAGGCTGGGGGAGCATGGAAATAAATCAGATTATATTCAATTTCCAGATACCACTCCCTCACAGGGCTGTTTCAGATGTTAAAGTTCCATTAAAAACATTAATGGAATGCATATAGTCACACTTGCAATCTAACACTTTCTCCCCTGTGCACACACAGTTGGAATAATATTTGCCATGGTTCCTCCACTGAATACACATCTCAGGAACAGGCAGCAAAAGAAATGCACATGGAATTGTTGGGTGTACATAGTTGCTGCCACTGCCACCCCACCCAATGATTCATGTTAATTTTGTGTAAGCCACTTACATTACTTAAAACTATTTAGTATTCCACTAACAATCACAAAAAAATATTACTTTGTTTTTGGTCCAGCCAGCCAAAATTACCAAATACCATAATGGACATACAAACAAATTCTGCAAGGCTGCTGTTAAAGGGATTGTTCTACATCAAGTAAAGTCTTTGGGCTGCATCCAACATTATCTGTACATACACTAATGCAAGTGCTCTTGTGCTAGCAGACAGTTCACCTTTATTGTTGCACAACAGAGAGATCCAATACCACAGTTGTGCTTCTAGAGACTGATGGATCTATTGTGCAACCAAACTACCAGCAATCTGCTTATGCATTCTTTTACAGAACATTATGCTGATGTAAACAATTCATCAGGAAAACAAGTATACCACTTAATGACTTTAATTTAGTGCTACATTCCTTTAGCAGGTTTGTCAGACCTGGAAAATGGTTAAATTTATTAGGTTTAAGATTAAACATTAAACATTAAACTCTTGGGCTGGGGTATTGTTTAGGGGAAGGTTGTTGCTGTTATTTATATTAATTGTTTGTACCTTTGTTTTAGATCTTATTATGATTTATGTGGAAATTGTTCGATTTCATTGTGTGTTTTTATGTTTATTGTTTATGACTACTTTTGTTATGTTTGTAATCATGTGTTTTTTCATGTTGCAAGCCGCCTTGTGCATGGTTTGAACTATGGAAAGGCAGCATACAAATAAAATGATGTATGTATGTAAACATCTCCTCCCATATGGTTTTCATTGAAACTTTCTTGGGAAAGTCATCTTTAGATTTGCTTTATGGTACTTTGTTTATTATGTTTTATTTTATTATACATTCCTTGCTGTGTCCTTTGATAGAGAGCAAAGACAGCTAGATAGACAGGCAGGCAGGCAGATAAGATAGATAAGCCATTAAACATAAGGAACTCTTGATTTCATAATAACTGACCATAGTGTAGCATGGATCTGGATTAATATCATATTGCCATATTAAAAATGCAAATATTTGCATAAATGAACAAGCTCAACATAACCTAGGAGTCTCTGGAGTTTAATGATTCAGCAAAACTGGCTGTTAACAGAAAAAAGCAACCATGTTCTTTCAGAGAACAAAGCTTTCACATAGAACTACATTCTATGTACATACAATTATTTCAATTACATGTCATTTACACACGCAGCTATCATGGATAAGGATAGATAATTTTGTATATATAATTTTTATTAATTTTTCTGTTTAACTATTTAAAATACTTATTTTACATCCTTAAAATATCACTGACTTCCCTTCTTCTCTTTCCATGGTTCATTTTACATATCATAAATCCCTGCATATTTTACAAAAACTATACCATTTAGTATTCCATTACTGTATCCATCAAAACTTATTTACACTGTTGAATTTATCTTAATGCTGCCAGCGTTTTCAGCTGTACACAATTATTTCCCATATATTCAATAAACGTTTTCCAAACTTCTTCAATCTTGTTCTCTTATTCCAGGGGTCGGCAAGGTTTACTTCGCCTGGGCCAGTTCGCTCCAGCAGAGATCCCTCTGTGGGCTGGATCACATGCCCACGCTCGTGATTTCTGGCATCTGCGTCTGCACAGACGCGATTTTCAGCCCCGTGGAAGCGAGTCCCCGCACTGGTTTAGCGCAGTGCGTGGGGACTCGCCAAGCGGGCGGCTCAGTTCGGGGGCAACTCATGGGCCAGGTAAATGACCCCCGTGGGCCACTTGTGGCCCATGGGCCTTAGGTTGCCTACCCCTTTCTTATTCTATATGATAAGTCTGCAAGTTGTGCATATTAAGGATAGGTAATTTTGGTAATTTGAAAGCGATGACCCTGGCCTCTTTCAGGCCAGGATCACACAAGGCAGTAAACCAAATTCCCTGGTCCTTTTAACTAAGAAAGGAAGTAAAGTCAATGTGTTGTCCAAACATCATCTTTTGGTTAAACTTTCTCTTCCTTAATCACAAGCCGTAGCCAAGAACAAACCTTGACTTAGTTGCCTTGCTACGCTAAACTAAAAAGGACCCAAGAGGAGCAAAGCAGATGCGATCTCTTCCATGGTAGCCCACATGTTCACACTAAGCCATGGTTCAGCTAGGCACTATGTGCATACACAGCCCCTGACATGGTGCATAAAGCAAAATTTGAATGCTAACTAAGTAATGGCCCACTGCAAATATATAATTAGTCTGGAACTGTATTTCACATCTCAGTTATCCTTCTAGATAAAGGATCAGGGACCTTTGGCCCTCCATGGTTAGGGATGATAGGAGCTGCAATTCAGCAACATCTGGAGGACCAAAGCCTGTTCTGGACCATGCACCAATCCTCAAAGGCTCCTTCTTTGGTAGTCTGTTTCTGTTTGAACTGTAAGAGGCTACGGTCTGTAATCTCTACCCCAAAGGATGGCCAGTCGCAATTAACATGACTTCTAACAATCAATACCACAAACAGGAAGCATGAGATGATGTCCAGGTTTCAAAGAACATGAACACCACTGTACATGTGTAAAATGTACAGAATTGGCAGGGGGAAAGGGATTTCTTGCCCAGGCAAGCAAACCGAGCTAAGCTCACAGAACAGCCCCAGCATCCAACCAGACTTTAGGTCCAAAGAGCCAAGGAGAAGGTTCACTGGATTATTTCATCAGTTCTTGAATTTACTACAAAAGCTAGAAATCTGACATCTGAAGAACCTTAGCAGTTTTAATTCCATCAATCACACTTGCAGACAATGCTTCAGGTTAAGGCTCAGACTGAGATTGGATAGGACATGAAAGAAAATAAAAAAGGGACAAACTTCACAAGGCACTGAAAGAAAAAAATATGACTCATTTACAAAAGTGCCCCAATTTTCTATTTTTGTGCCTAAAAGGTTTCAAGTATAACGGTTTCCCTTCAGAGGCAAAGGACAAACACTCCACATTCCAGAGAAAAGAAACGACTATTACCTCTGACAAAATTATTTATACTGCAATGACGCTAGGTGCAACTGAAAATACTTCAGTATACTTCAATACCATGAGGAGGCCTTTTCTGTGAAAGTGGCAAAAAGTTTGGAATGCCATACCAAGGAGACACAATATTTTCAGTGGCATGATAAAGCCATCATTTTTACTCAGACAATTTAGATAGGATTTTAGTCTGAACTGCTTTTTCTATTCCTTAATTTTGTTTTGAACCCACTCTTTATTTTGTTTTTAAATAATGTCTACATGTGCTATATAAATGATTAACACACTTCTGTACGCTATCCTTGAATCTTCAGGTGAAGAGCTATTGAGAAATATTCTAAATAAATAAATAGCTATAGATAGGTAGTAATGATAATTTCTTTCAATTTATAACCCTATTCCATTTTTGCCAGGAAACACTAAATGTTATTTTGAAAATTCAGTTCCTCTCAGGTGAATTTATACAAAATCAAACTAAATCTATTGCATAACACATACTTAAATTTCTTGTGAGCTCTGAATGTGTTTTTCCTTAGGGGACAATATATTTATTTTTAAAGAACAACCCACATTGTCCTGTTAATTGACTGAGGAGAGATCACAAGTCAGCACCTTGCTAGAGGGAAATCACATATGCAAAAGACTGCAACATCAATAGGTTACGGGTTGATAGGAATTGTGATTTGCTTTTTCACAAACTTCTTTCAGTAGTTTGTAAAAAAGCAAATCAAGCATTTGTCAAGCTTAATTGTCAAGCTTAAAGTTAAAGACCTGTGGCATCTAATACTACTGACGAAGCAAAAGCAGATTCCACAAACAAATCTTATGTGTTGACACTTGTTCATAGGCCATGCCACAGAATGGAATACATTAATTAGAAAGTTTCAAGAAGAAGTGTTTGCCAACTGCTGAGTTTCCCAAATTTAATGTTCAAACCCCTGTGAATTTGTCACACTGAATTCAGCAAGACCTGCTTCAACCCAAAGCATAATGTCAGTCAGTGGTCATTTAAGTACATCAGCTTTATGATATTCTATGAGCTACAAAAACCACAATGCTGAATTGAAACTTCTTTCTATGTGCTCACAACAAGTTTTACCCTTCCTCATTGTGTGTCTTCACTTGCAAATTAATGTGAACTAGACTCCCACAGAACAGTTTTGTTTTCACACCAAAACTATAGTACTGTTCAAAAAGTTTGTATTTTATGCTTCAACTTAACAGAAATATCAAAATGTGGTTTTCTACTGCACACAAATGCATAGTAAGGCTGGGCGATATCTGGTTTTTAATATCACAATATATCACCAGCTAAACATCACAGCACAATATACCAATATACAGTGGTACCTCTGGTTACAAACTTAATTCGTTCCAGAGGTCCGTTCTTAAG